TAAGAAGACTCCAACTAGGCTTTTTTGCTTTTGAAAAAGTGTGTGTGTGAAGCTCTGCATTTAAAAGTGCTGTGTTTCCCCAGGTAATTTACTCACTTACCCATTTCCATTTCTCAGTTCTGATTTTTCCTTCTCTTTGGAGGATACACACTTTTATGCTTAGATCCCCTTAAGAATCCTATTAGATTTGAGTATATTACTATACCTACAAGTTTGTGAAATGCCATTTTGCATGTTTCTAAGTTCGAGTGAAGAAGAAATTAACATTTAAAATGTGCGATCTGATCTTGCGGTCCTGATGGTTTATCACATTCATTTCCACAGCATCAAACCCACGGATATGGTTTAATGAACAGGGAATTGGATTAAGACTCAAGAAAACCTGGGTACTTTTCTTTTGAACTGAGATTCATGAAATATAATTACAGCTATGCAGAAATGGATTGGACTGGAATGTAAGGTAGAGAATTTCTCAGACTGAGAGGTGTTCAGCAATAGCTATGTAGAAGGGATTCATGCATCAAGAAGGGGTTTGACCTTTAAGGTCCCTTCCAATTCCTGGCATTTGTGACCCATTTTCAGGGCCGATCCAAACAATTAACCTCACTGTGCCTCACTTTTCTCACTGTAAAATAGCACTGACTCCTATCTACCTCACAGGTATATTATAAGGTTTATTGAGCTATTTATAAGGCATGTAGAGTACTTCACAGACAGGAGCAATGTAAACAGTAAAATTTATTATTATTTAAGGAGAAGGCATGGGAAGTTTTAAATACCCACTGGAAATAGCAGGGTTTCTTTTCTCCTCCATGTACTCTATGTGTGTGCAAATCAGCATTTTTTCGTGTCATATATCTCAGCACACAGAGTAGATAGGCAGCCAAAGCACGTGTTTAGAATTGGCCATTTGGACACTTTGGAAAGTTACCTCTATATGCAAACCCTAGCTCAAACTCATGTGAAATAAACAGGTTTCATTCTCTAAAGCACTTTTCAAACCAAAGGTCCATTTCCAATCACATTCATAGGGGTGCAGATGGGGAAAGAAGACCCTTAAAATATTATTTTACATCTTCATGTTTTGTTTTTTTTTATTGAGAAAGATTTAAACTTAGAGAAAAGTTGCAAGAAATGTACAGTAAACTCCTGTACACCCTCCCTCTAGATTCAGCAGGTGTTATCACGGGGCCACATTTGTTTTAAGGCTCTCTTAATTTTTCAATATAAAAACAACTACAGCAACAATAAAAATAATGGTAAGTAGTAGCACTGTTGAACCACTTGAAAGTAAGTTGCAGACTTCATGACCTTTTACCCATAAATACATTAGTGTATCACCTAAGAACAAGGACCTTCCTTGTTATAACCACACTACAATAATCAAATACAGGAAACTTAACAATGATACAATGCTGTTATCTAAATGTATATGAAAACACACACTATTCCAGTTTTGCTAATTGTCCCAAGGTCACTCACTGCATTTAATTGTTAAATGCCTTCGTTCTCCTTTAGTCCAGAACAGTTCAGCCTTCCTTTGCATTCATGACATTGACATTTTTGAGGAGTTCAGGTCAGTTTTATTACAGAATATACCTCGTTGGGTTTGTTCCATTGTCTCCTTATCCACATATGAATGTTAATGTCCCTCCATCTCAATGGGATAGGAAAACACATCACATTATCAGTTTTGCATGCACGGTGACCATTCTCTGCAACCAGAGTCCTGGCAGGAAGGGGTTGCTCCATCAGGGCTTCCATCTGAACACAGGAGGACGATTAGCAAAGCCAGGTGTGCCGAAATCAATTTCCTTTCCGTGAAGTAATTATTTGTTTAGCAAATATTTTTTAACTATTCATTACCATGAAATGTAAATGATCAATGAATCGCTGCAAAATGCAAATATAAGGGAAAGCTTTCTCCAAATTTTGTCTCTTATGACTTTTGAATTGTAAATTCTACATCATTTGCTAATAGAGGAAGAAAGGATTTTCTTAAGCAAACAATTGCTTTAGGAAGAGAAATGTAAACCTCACAGTTCCTTGTTCCTTGTCCTTCCCACAATTTGGGTCTGTAATCTTTAAATCTGCAGATCCTTCTCCTTTCTGAAACTGATTTACCTACATACAGGCAAGATGAGAAAGTGAGGCTTAGTAGTGAAGTTTTTTGTAAAGAGAAATGTATTCCAATTAGGAACTGATCTTTTATACTAAGTTGTTCTTTTTCCTCTATCGGTATTAAAATAAACATTTCTTATGAAATAATTGTGAAAGTGGATGGTCACTATATTTGAGGTGAGGAGTATGTCTAATGCTTTATACTGGTCCAGAGTTTTCTATCTCTGTTTTCTTATGCAGTTATTTGTTTATATAGTTAGTTAGCCTGTAAGATAGTTAGATAGTCAGTCAGTCATTCAGTCAGTTGATCTGAAATCCAAAAGTCAGGAGGGGCCACTGATTACATGGAAAGAGCCCTAGATTTGATGTCAGAAGGTGAACTTGGCTTTAAGCCCTGGATCTGCCACTTGTAAGCTGCATGACCTTGAGCAAGATACTGGAGTACAGAAGCCTCACCTCATAATCTATAAAATTAAGTAGTAGTTGAGGCTCCATCTACCCCAAGAGAGTCACAGGGTAAAATCCTCCCGTGGGCTGGGAGATCCTTAAAGCAGGATGCTTTCCTCTTGCACCTCCAGGGCTTAGCATGGGGCTTGGAATCTGATGAGCACCCAGGAAGTGTTTTCCCATAAAAATGAATGAATGAAGTGAGAAAGTGTATGTCAACCTTAAATTCCATAATCTTGTATAAGTCATTGCCATAGGAAGAAGCCCTTCATGACTGACATTTCATTCAGCCAAGAACAAGAGCAGTTTATTGCAGCATATAAAATGCACTTTTAAAATGTTTTTCCCAATTTAATTTAAAGGCCACATTGAGCTCTCCCTTGTGGTCATGTGAAGGAAATGGTTAACGGACATCTGTGGTCAGCACCCAAGGACGTGTTCACTTGGTGAACTCACATACGAGTTAACAACCAAGAAATATCAAGGATTGCAAACAAACCTTCAGAACGTTTGAAGTTGTGAGAACACTTTCTTGGGATGTTCCCACAGATGTCCATTAACCATTTCCTTCAGTCGTGCTCAAGAAAGAAAGAAAACATGTGTGATTGCAAAGAAGGAGGGTGAAAGGAGAGAACAGGAGACTTAGGCATCCTAGGGAAAAGAGAGGAAGATGAGTCCCTGATTCTATTTTTTCCCCTATCTCATCAAGCGATCCTAAGCTATATCTGTTCCCTCAGCACCAACACTTGTATTTATAAGGCAGAATGGTGAAATGGGAAGATAGAGCTTGGATTCACAAATGAGAATTTTAATCTATCCCTCCTCTTATCTATCTCCGTAACCCTCAGTAAGTTAGTTAATTGCTCTGGACCTTGGTTTCCTCATCTGAAATAATAAAGATAATAATGTTTTCTTCATAGGATAATTGTGAGGATTAGCAAATATTACAGAAGAAATAGATGAATCCATGTGCTCAATTTTCTTCCCTTTTTAGTGCTCATCAGTGGCTCAGGACAAGTGAGTCCAGAATTAAAAAGACAAACAGCTCATTATCAGTACTGAAGAGCCTTCAATCACATTAACTTATTTGAAGAGGAACAAGGGTCCAGGAAGGCTGTTATCTAACAATTTCAATTTTTGTATAAACAAAAGAATAAGGAGCACTAAATCTTGATATGCTTCCACAACAATCCCCCCACTCCCTTCTCCTGTCCACTTGTCTCTGTAGAGCAGTATCATTATAAACTTGCAGCGGATTAGAATCAAACATATCTAAAGTGTTAGAGAATACTTTCTTCGTTTGAGCTACAAAAATGTGGCTTCCAGGAAAAAATAACTAAATAAACAAAAATGAAAAAGAAATACATCCAGTCCAGAGGTAGCTGGAATCCATGCTATATCTTGCACAGTACATACTACAATTTCCATCTGAATACTCATAATGCTTAATATTCCCTATTGATTACTTGAAGCTGACAAATCCTGAAGGCACAGAACTGCATTATAATAATAATAATAATATAAAGGCAATTTTCCACTGTAATCGGAGTCCTTGAGTGACAGCCAACATCATGCTGTTTAGCAAACACCAATTAATGTTAGGGGAGTGAGATGGAAGATTTATATAGCTGTTTGCCTTGCCTTAGTGAAGCGCTTCTCTTAGAGAAGGGTGCAGCTCAGGAAATCCCTATCCATGGTGAACCAAACATTCTCTGTCAAGTTAGTCAGCTGTGTGTACACTTTGCTACAATTACCAGTGTTGCATTTTAAAAGAATTTTGTTTCTGCTTTTATTATTATAATCCCTAAAAATGTCGTGGTGTTTTTTAAATAAAGTAAGAATTTTCCAATTCAACATTCAAACATATTACCAAGCAAATATAGTGAGCCATTTACAAATAGTTTACATGGCAGGAACTAAGAGATTATGTAAAGCAGCCCAACTAATTAGCTGGTAAATAGTATGTTACATATAAACCCTTGAAGACATGCTTACTGAAGTTTACAGTCCCCAAAACTCCTAGTTTTCTATTGGCTTTTTAAGTGAGCATTTGTTATGTATTTCACTGAGCACCTTTGGAAACTTGAAGCAACTTTCTGTTTACAAAAGTTTTACAGTTGCAGACTTGATTTGTTAAAGATTTGAGGTACTGGCTGAAAGCTGAAGAGGGAAATTGCATTCTAAATAAATTCAAAACGCACTTGGGAAAATTGTACTTCTGAGCCACACATACCCACAAAGAGAAAATATCAGTATAATCCACAACAGAAAGAGAAATGACAAATGGCAAGTCAATAGTGTAACCTTTAGGTAGGTGGCTGCTTGATACATTTTTGGAGTGATATGAGTTTGGCTGTAAATGGCAATAAACACTACTCTTTTGATAAAAAAAAAAAAAAGTCTCTGTTGCATGATTGGATGTTATTTCCTAGGTCTAATTCGTCTGCAAGAGCTCATCAAAGCTCCCTCCAGATATAACATTAAAATCAAAATCCGCCAGCTACCCTCTGGGAATAAAGACGCCAAGCCTTTACTCAAGGAGATGAAGAAAGGCAAGGAGTTCTATGTGATATTTGATTGTTCGCATGAAACAGCTGCTGAAATCCTTAAGCAGGTAAGAGGGCTAGGGAGGAAGTGGAAGTGTGGGGGAAATGTTATTTTCTCTTTCTCAAAAATGCCATATGGTTTTCACTTAGAGCATCATGATAAAATGCAGCAGTCCAGTTTAGGCCAAAGATTACAATATTCAGATCCCTTTTAAAGAGTAAAAGGGCCCAGAGAGTTTACGTAGCTTCACTGATGTTTAGTTGTAGACATGTGTTTCTATGTATGTGTTGGGTGGTGTGTGGATCCTGTCAGCAGAAGATGAGAGAAGAAGGGTAGCATTTCAAGGTGATTAAATATCTCTTTTTAAATGTCTTTTGAAAAGACTGAGCCAGATATCATTTATGTAATGCCCTACTCGTCCTGAATTCAGTTTCCTCATAGCCAGGCCTCTTTTTTCAAACATGCAGGATTCCAAGCACAGTAAAAAAGGGGTATAGGGGCAGTCACAGAAAAGATGATTTTCTCTTCTGATGTGTTATAGTCAATGAGCTGCTATGCATTACTCTCCAAAGATAATGTGGGTGGAAACACTTGGTAAATTGTGAAATCTTATATGAATACAAGGTGTGAGTATTATTCAGAATAATAACAACAAGAACAATGGAATAATACTTTTTGAGCATTTGGTCTTATGCTTAAGAAAGAAAATTCAAAATTAGAAAAAAGTAAAGCATAGACTAGTGGTTCTCACCCCCGGGTTGTTTTGCCCCCTCTGGGACTTGGGAAAATTCCTAAAGACATTTTTGGTTGTCATATCTAGAATGGGGCACTCTACTGGCAACTAGTTGGTAGTGGCCAGGGATACAGCTCAACATCTTATAATACACATCTGGAAAGGCCAGCTAAATGTTTAAAATGGAAGCACTGAATGATCAGGGGGTGAACTTGGGGAAAGCCAGAAAAAATAGCCAGGTTATATTCATGTGGCCTACAGGGTATCACCTTATATTTAAGTGGTTATTGGGGAATAAGAGAATGTTCTTATCTAAAATAACACAAGCTGTTATTGCTCTTTACTTTAAAAGGTCTGGGGTTGCAATGTTGTTGATTGGTAATGGGCAGTGGTTTCATAAATAGACCAGCCCCTCCACACAAAGGCAGAACTTAGATCCTTGAATCACTGGGAAGAGCTCTTTTTGAAGAGTTATGTGGCCTGACTCTCTGGTGCTCCATCTCGTTCTTGCAGAATATCTCTCTGCAACCACTGAGTTCAGAATTAAGTTTTTAATTGCACTGAAAAGTAGATAATCAAAAAAGTCGACCAGATGTCTTTATTATCCACTGGATGATTACACTAAAAAAAAAAAACCTATTTAAAGTCACAGAACATATTTAAAATTGCAGTTGAAAGGAATCACAGATACTACCATATTTAATCCTCTTATTCTGCAAGAGGTAAAATGACTTTGCCAGAGTCACACATCCAGTGCTTTCTCCACCTTGAAATTCTTCCTCTCCAGTTAGGCAGAAGAGTATACATTACTTACTTCTAGACTATAGTTGCATCAATAAATCGTTAGATATTATAATTATCTATCAGTAAAGAAAGTGAGCATGTTGCATCAATATCAACAACTAAAGAACATTAAAGGTAAATAAATACAATCAGCACCCCTTTATCTTAAAGCTTCATTCGAGAATTTTAACACAGTTCATTTAAGTGTGTTAATGGAGTATGGATCAGAACTGAGAAAAACACCCAGATTTTATGTGTAGCCTTCAAAATGCAAAGAAGCATCCTTTCCCAGGAGTCTTATAACAGAGGCTGGTAACTTCTGTGACATTTAAGAGAGTGCTTTGCTGATGAGACTTCTCATTGTTGCATACCCATCTGGGTCATATAACTGGCCACGGGATGTCTTAATGAGGCTTCATTTAGGCCTCTAGAGGTTATTGTGCTTGAAAATTTATATGGAGACCTCAGGACTTTCTATTGTGGTCAAAATGAGACCCAAACACTCTGTATGATTTCGTTTAACTTGCTCCGGTAGCCCTAAGCAACAACCTATAGAGACAAAGAAAGACACCTTGCCTGCAGAGTGTCTGCCAAGAGATTCCCTAGAGAGGCTGAGAATTCAGGAGTTCTGAGCCCTGATTCTGGCCACCACTCAATCAATCTTCCTGCCTGAGGAAAGGAAAGGAAGGAAGGAGACATACCTCTTCTACTGAGGGACCTACCAGGTGTTGGCAGTCATTCATAATCATGTCATGTAATCTCAAACAACCCCCTGAGGTTGAGGAAACTGACGCTCAGATAGGTTAAGTGCCCCATCCAAGGTCATTCTCTGAGTAGCTGGGCTGCCATGTGGTCTAATCTCAGAGCCTGTGTGCTCATGTCCCTGTGAAGAGCCCCCAATCAGAACGGACAACCATTCTGAAGGAGACTCCCAGAAATGTCTGGGAAAAACAAAACCACTTGCTGCTAGTCTCCTTTAGGTGAGATTAGTATTAATAGCTTTTACTTTTTTCTGTGACTTAAATCACTGCTGAGAACATTCTCTCTGCCTGGTGAACTTGGCTTTCTCCTCATGTACATCTCCCATCATTGCCCTATACTTCTCTGCACCTTCATCTTATTTTTCCACTTTTTAATGATTCTTAAGGGAAAAAAAAGAAATCAAAGGCACTTTGAAGAACATATTTGACATTTATCTAAAAGTAAAAAGTGGGGTAAAGTCTATAGTTATTCTTGGGCATGCTAATCACTCTAGCAATGTAATTATTTCTATTCATATTGAACAAGTACTATATGATGAGAATCTGAAAAGTTATTTCCCCCAAATTAGTTTGAAATTCAAATGTCAAGACTTGATTAGGCTACAGAGAAGCAGAGTTTTCATATGAACAAACTGTTTTCATGAGTTTCCACAGTCAGTCGGAGAGTTTCCCCAACAAGCAACAGGTTACATGGTGTGCTCTTCTCTCCTTATCCACCCACCACCTCCCAGCAGGTGTCCTGATGCTTTGAGAGGATGCTGGCTTCTCCTTAACCCATCTCCAATAGGGAAACCATGACTCCTCTTCACTCCCATTGCCCCAAGCCCCACTATCTCCCTCTGACTCTTCACTGCCTACTACACACACACCCCTTCATGCTGAGTGTGATTCTGCTGAGGGAGTAGCTGATGGGAGATGAATTGAAAAAATAAATCAAAGGACAGAAAGTTTCTATGCATGGAACTCCCAAGCTGTGCCTAGCATGGTGCTGTGTGTTAAGCAGCCATCTTATTTAATCAACACAATAGCCCTTGATATAATTGGTGTTATTCCTCTTTTGCAATTGAAAATTGAAGCTGAGATAATCATCATGGCATCTATGTACTGAGCATATTCTTCATACACCCACAGGACCTGACCCTGCTTCTCTCTCCAACCTTCTTGCTGGCCTCTGGTTTCCAATGCTCCATTTCAAGACATCCTGCCTGGTTATGTGGCATGTCCTCCTTTTCCCATGTCATAGCCTTTGCACTTGTCATTGCCAAAGCCTAGAACATTCTACCCCAAAGTCAGCCTCACCTAAGTCTTCATAATTATCTTTTAAAAAGTAAAAGAGAAGGAGCTCCTTCTCATTCCCTATGTCTCTGCACTCTATTTAGTTTGCTCTGTAACTACAATAAAATCTGTAATTAATTAATATGTTTACTTATGGGTTATCCATACCCCTTACTATACTGTGAGCTCCAAGAGGACAGAGCCTTGTTATCTTGTTCCCCCAAGTCTTGAGCACCTACTATATTATTTGACACATGATGAGTGTTCAGTACAGCTCTATTGAATGATTACATAAACTGAGTGAATGAATGAGCCAAGAACTGTTACATGCTTTCCATAAGTAAAATCCAGAATCCCCTTTCTTCTCTCCTACTCAGTATGCTATGCTCTCAACTCAGCGACACACATGTGGGCAAGTACGTCAGTTTTCTCAAAAGGGAGACTTTGGGGCCGGCCCGGTGGCACACTGCTACAGTGCGCCACTTAGGAGCGCAGTGGCGCTCCCGCCAAGGGTTCGGATCCCACATACAGACCAGCGGCTCACTGGCTGAACGAGGTGCGGGCGCAACACCGAGGGTTGCGATCCCATTGCCGGTCCTGGTCCGGTACGGGCGCGACACTGAGGGTTGTGATCCATTGCCGGACACGAAAAAAGACAAAAAAAAAAAAAAAGGAAGACTTTGTTCAACCCTGACATCCTATATTATCAAGAAAATGCAGTGATTCCACTTCCTTAAAATAAATTTGGCTCTTTGGAGAACTGCATAGGTGCTTTTAAATCCTATAGTAGGACTGAGCAAGCTAGCGACTACTTCAAGCATAATAGCCTGAATTCTAGTGCTTCTCTGAAGGAGAGTGAGGGGCCCCTGAGATGCTCTTTCCAGCGGGGAAGCTACATGAGGCTGGGAAAATGTCCTGAGCTGGACAGTGACCACTGTGTACGCATGAACACTTTGTTTCTGTCCCAGAAAACCTGTTCCCTCTTTTACATGAACAAGGCAGAGGAGGGCTTTTTTTCCCACAGCATTTGTGTCAGCTATAATTGAACCATTAGTCTCCATAAAACATTTAGTCTCAAAATATTTTGTAGAATTATATTGTATTTTCCCCTGTCAACATTTGTATGCTCTTGCTTTTTCTTTTTTATTTTATTTTTTTTCCTTTTTTCCCCCCTCCCATTTCTTCTATTTCAATTAACATAAAAACAAGGCCAGGGAGAAAATGTATTTTCTAATGCCTGGTTTCCCTCTGCTAGGAAGTGTCATACAATGCTGATTAATCAAATAATTTGTGTATCAATTCTTTCCTCATCTATGTTGTGTCCAATGGCTGGAGTGAGGGCAAACAGAGGTGGTTAGGTAGGTTTCATTCCATGTCTACACAAGACAGACGCAACCATCAGTCCTCATCTCTCAGGATAGAAAATAACAAGTCAAGCATTCTATGCTAAGAGGTTGTAAGCCTGCATTTGGAAATGGCACCCACTAAGTCAGATCTTCAATTCCATCATTTTTA